AGAGAGACTGGGACAAGACTAGGAAAGATGACTGCATAAAAATAAACCAGACTCTGATCACCATTCCCTGTACAAGGAGGAAGGGAGAAGGTGAGAACGACAGTTGGAGTGTAAGGGTTTTATGTCGCTCAAAGGAGCACATCACACTGTATCTAAATAAACACGGTCAAAATTGTAATAGTGAAGGCATGATAGAATGCTACCGGAAACGCGAATAACTAGGGCAGAAAGGGAGATACCACAAACGTTTAGCACACGTTTGGTCAAAGTATCGGCTTCACTTGTCTCTTTGACGAGTTGTAATATGGTGCTAAGAATGACGATACTCACTGACAATGCCGGCTACGATGCCGGCGAAACTTTTGGGAATGTACCACGTCCATAGTTCAAATTTTGAAAAGATCGTGCAGATAATAAAATCCGGACTAGGTGAGTTCCTCTAAGTCTTCCTACCAATATGACCATGTTGCGAAAACAAGGTCAAAAAACTTCTATACAATGAAAGGAGACTGCGACCACACGAAGGCCACACCAACTAGGTCTTCATACTTTCGATATTCTATTTAGTTAATAGTTACATTTAACTAGCATGCCTTTCATTACCTAGAGCAAGTTGGGAAAAGCATAGTATTAATGGAATAGATTGGCTTTTACATAACTAATGAATGCTGGGCGGATCGCATTTTCTTGGTTTCTGGCGTTTTTAAACTAATCTATGGCAAAGATACATGTGGATTATTAACCTTAAAAGCACTTAATACAACGTTTAAGACAGTCAAAAACAAATAACAAATATCTGTGTATGGCCAAAAGCTAAGCAAAATGAGCTGTAAGGGTGAAGCAGAAAAATACAGAGATGATGCCCTTGCAAACCAATTAGGTTTTTTCGCAAACTAGCAAGAGAGGTTTAGATCAAGAAGCAACTAAAGCAAAATTGAAAACAGAATGCTAACTTAACCACATTTCGTGACAACTGGCCGCATCAGTTCAGCAATTTCCATACGCATTCCGCATTCTGCATCCCGACCCACAAACGCGAAACCGTTTGACTCCAGTTCAACAACCACGGCAGGATTAACCTCGTAACGATGGCGATGACGAGCATAAAATTCCCCGGAACCAATAAGTTTGCAAATCTAAACAGATTATATGAATAATCGGTATTATTTATCTTCATAAATAAGTTTTACTAGTTCGAGTGAAGACACATTAGATACTAAAATACTCAGTGTAACGTTATATTGCAACCGAAAGACATTACGGACGACAATAAGGCTAAAAAGGTTAATATGATTCCTACCTATGTAGGAGAGTATTATCGCTGAAGGCTAAG